ACTCGCAAGCTCTATCCGGGGATTCATCTCAAGAATTTTATCGGCCATTGTGGCCAACTTATCAGTACCTTTATCACTAACAATTAAAATGTTTTTTACTTGGTCTGGCAGTTTCTCCATCCATAAAGTTCTCAGAACTTTATCAGACACATCATCAGCATCTCCAAGGGCACGCATTTTTCGGAGTAGTTGGCTGGGCTTTAGGTCTCCCAATTCTAGTCCAGCTAGCAATCGCTTGATGCGTTTGTTTTCACTTTCTTTAAAAGTGCTCAGAAGTCTTTCTTTAGCGGCTGAATATTTGTTTGGCGTGTCGTCTCGAATGATGTCCCAAATGTTTTCTATAAATTTGGGTTCAAGTTGTGCAACCAGGTAATTAAATCTTGTTGTCTTCGGAAGTAATTCCACTGATTTTAAACTGTGCCTCTACGGTGAAAAAAACCACATTTCAGGTTTTCTCTACCCAAAATGGCGGTATCTTAACACTCACTTTACTAGCTTCAAGTTTTGAAGTAGATGCAGATTCACTGTCCAATGGCATGTTTGCAAATTTTAAGTCAAACTAAAACATTAGAATACAAGATGATTCCTAATAAAACACGGGTCACCAGATATTAGTTCAACTCATTGCAAACTTTTATTCATAATCATGAACAGCACTAAAAACTTATACAGAAAAAAATTACAGACGTCCACCTTCAGCACATCCCACACCAACACACGTGGTGAACGAAAAACACATGGTCAACAACTCTTTAGTCAATGTTACAGTTACATATGAAAATTTAAAACAATAACACAGCAAAACAAAAATGTTCTGAAAATTCACACACTTAATTTTAAAAAATAAATGCACATTATTACAGTTATTAGCAATGACAAATAATTATTACACTTTTCTTTCATAATTTAAATTGATTTTTTTACCAATGTCTGGGCTATCACCAGGCCACTGAAATGCTAAGTTCAAATCCAATGTATTGGACTGGTGTAGCCATCTACTGACAAGATAGTGAAATGCAAAGTGTTCTAACAGGTATAATACTTTCAGAAGAAGAAGGTTGTGAGTGGGAAAGTTTCAATTCAGAGTTTTGGTTTACAATCAATTTGATTGGACAAGAGGCATTTGCATTAAAACATTACGTAAGATGGAAAAATCTGGAACCTGTAAGAAGAGATGAATTTGGGGGCAGATCATCAAATTTAGAATGTTAATTTTGAGGTTGCCATTTATTTTTTTGAAACAGCTATCATATTTTGTTATATCTTATATATTTTTATAAATATGTAATAATTTTTTAAAATGCGTAGATGAAGGTACTGGAACTTTAACAGCTTTCGATACTGCATAAATGACTGAGAAGACTTGAAGGTGCCAGAGTGGAAAGCATGATGACACATTTATCACAACATGTCTTGAAAAATCACAATCCTTATTTTTTTATGCATATCAAATCATCTTTTTTCAGACATGATTATATTTGAATACAGTACGTTGCATTTTGAAGTACAATGTCGTTTTAAGCAAGTAAGCGGCAGCAGCATACATAAAAAGCTTCTTGCCTGCAGGAGACCTTATGTGGAAAAGAGGCAGAGTTATAGTACTTTCAAAGGAAGAAGGTTGTGAGTGGGAAAGTTTCAGTTCAGAGTTTTGGTTTACAATTAATTTGATTGGACAAGAGGAAATGTAATGTAAGATAGAAAAATCTGGAACATGCGAGAAGAGATGAATTTAGGGGCAGATTACCAAATTTAGAATGTTAATTTTGAGGTCGCCATTTATTTTTTGAAACAGGCTATCATATTTTGTTATATCTTACATGTATGTATGGTGTTGTGCAACACACCCACGTTTCAGTTCACAGTTTTGGTTTACAATTAATTTGATTGGACAAGAGGAAATGTAACGTAAGATAGAAAAATCTGGAATGTGCGAAAAGAGATGAATTTAGGGGCAGATTACCAAATTTAGAATGTTAATTTTGAGGTCGCCATTTATTTTTTGAAACAGGCTATCCTATTTTGTTATATCTTACATGTATGTATGGTGTTGTGCAACACACCCAATTTTCTGACCAATGCATATCATGTGGCTATGTGATTCTTAACAATGTGGATATTATATCTGTAGTCTCACCAGTTGGTTAGTAGGTGATATCAAAGTCTTGCACATCACTTTGAGTGGCTGTCCTTGACCTATCAATGGCAGACTCTTATAACAGTTATTTGATTTTGACCAATTTTAGGAGCAGTGCGTGGTATGATAATTCACAATTGTTCTAGATTAATATTCTCCTGCATTCGAATTCTTAGACACACTGATATCAATTACTTCTTCTTACAGGGGGTATAATATCACCTCCAATACAGAAAATTCTGAGTGAACGGAATTTCCAAATGCAAAATCGGCATTTCTATCTGCCTTTTTATACTGCTTTGATATGTTATTACTCTTGTCTAAAATGTGTACATGCTGTTAACTAATAAACATTTGTGTATTCCAGCATATTCCATCTTTTTTGCTAATTTCAGATTTTCTGTCAACTTTCTTTTCATAGTACAGTCAAAAGTCATTAATCCGGACTCGTCGGGACTTCGGCGATTCCGGATTATCGATTTTTCTGGATTATAGATCATCAGTTTAAATCTCGTAAGATGGCATGCAGAAATTCTAAAATTAAAAATATGAAACCGTAATTTATGAAATAAAGAACAATTATGATCTAAAGGGTATCAAAATTTACAAAAAAAAAAGCTTAATATTTATTTGTTTACTTTATTAAACATTTCTTTCAATGTAAGTTGTTTAAGTTGCTTCATTTTATGTGATAATACTTTCTCTTTAATTCTATAAAAGACATAATTTCTTGTTCAGTTACAAAGTTCCGCTGTTCAAGTCTCGTTAATTGCTGTGCCGAGAATACCGACTAACATGTCAATCGAAATTTTTTCGTTTTCACTAACCTCTCTGTCACATTCTTCATGTCTTTATCCATTTTTTGCAGTAATTCCACTTTTTGTTTGTTCGACATCGAAACATACTTTCATTTTGTAGATCCTTTGGAAGTTTCAGCATCGGAAATTCTATTTGACATAATCGAAAGTTCAAGTTTACTTTTATAAAATTGCTCTTACAGTCTGCAAAAATAATAAGCGGGATCCAATTCGAAGATTAAGGAACAACGCAATCATTAACATTAACTGAAATAGATAATTAGATAATTTTAGCTTACACCGTCCGTTATACATTAAACGCGCAGGCGAAAACGTATTCTGCACTTGCGCACACGCATATGCGCAGTAGTCAAGGTCTTACGCGCACTCGTAAAACGCCTGTGCGCATGTGCCAACGCGGCGCATGCGCAGAAAGTTTTTAGCTTGAGGTCCGGATTATGGGTGTCCGAATTAACGACTTTTGACTGTATAACAATTTTAATGGAAAGTGCAGTAGTATACATATGCATGGGTATGAGTGATAATATAAAGAGGAAATTGTAACAAGCATAGCAGAGAGAATTTTCAATGAAAAGGCAGTCATAATATGAATATCTTCTTGATTTCCTTGAGAACTTATTTTTATTTATCATCAAGAAGATATTCTGCTGTTTTATTATGGGTTTTTATGAAAAGTTTTCAAAATGCCCACTTTTACCTGTACATGTGCCAACCTGGCAGTGATATTTCCATAAATATTTTGCTATATCCTCCCATCCTTGGGATGAAGTTCATCGGATATGAAATTTAAGTCATGTCAAATTAAACTAAGATATCTGTACAAACTTTTAAAGTTCTAAATAAGTATTTGCAGTGATGTCCTTAACATTCCAGTTGAAGTCTTCAAAATGCAACTATATACCTTACCATCTCATCCTAGATGAGTTTCTGTCACCTTCCCAGTCATGTATAACAAGGTATAGTTCGACCGTCTCATCCGCGACCATGAGCGCAAACATGCATGTGCCATTTGGACCGAATTATTCTCAAAATAGGGTTGAAAGATGGAGATTTTCTTTCTCTCCAGCATAGCTCTTTCTGGAGAAGGAAAGACCTTTCACGTTGCAGCAAGTAATACCGCCCCTTTTGAATGAGTCTATGTGTTTTGGCAGAATGCCAACCAGGGTTGCACTTGAGAAGGTCGAACTATAACTTGTCATCTTAAATTCATGTTCTATGTCATTAGGTGTTATATAAGGAGCACTTTTTGGTTGCAATAGATATTCTGTATGCCATCTCTGCCAAAAGTTATTCAGTAAATGTTTGGCAATATAGGTACCTGTTTCAAGGACAACATTTCTGTTGCAACTAACTTCCTTAATAGATTAGCAAGGCCATACAAATGTCAATCTTTTCTTTACTAAAAAAATGAAAAGGCATTGTGGAGGAGGTGGTTCTTAAAGAAACATTATTATTAATTAATGGTGCGGTATTTTCATTTTGTCTTGAAGCTTCTTTTGTGATTATTTCTACATTTGATGTGTATTTAGTTTCATAGTAATTTTCTAATAAAATTACTTTAGCGTGTAATGAATTTTGCTAGTATTAAAAGAATAAATTTTGATTAATGTATTAGGAATTTTTTTCTTTGAGGGTTTCATTTTTCTTATTGCACATACAGCAAGTATGGAATTAGGATTATATTAATTCCACATTTGTAGCCAAATAAGTAAATACTAGTTGTATTAAAAATGCTGGTATAAAAGTATAAAATAATCAACAGATTTTGGCATATTTATCTGTGTACATAATTTAATATTATTTTTTGTAATAGAATTTATGCATTTAAATATATTCTTTACTTTAAATGTGTTGTTTACTGCAGATAACCCAAATGTTACTCGTATACTAGTTTGCAAGTTCCTAGTGTATAAATATATTCTAGTTTTATATCATAATTCAACAAATTAATCAACTTTTTTCTAATTTTATAGCCAGTTGTGTTAAAATGGTACTGTATTTTGTAACAGTATTGAAGATAATAATTTTGATTATCATTATTATTACAGGAGCGTTTAAATAGACTGCATCAGAGTATTGCCCGAGAAACAGCTAAAAGAAAAGCCCTTCTTGAAACCAGTCCTACTACTGCTCAGCCTTCATCATGAAAGAAATCTGAAAGATATATTCTGTAAATGCTAACTTTTCTTGAAAGTAATTGATCAGAGAGAATTGTGGTTTTATTTAATTGCAGTGTGAAATAATATATTTATGGAATGCAGTAATCTGTATTAGCTCAATGTTGAATGCATTCCATAACTGTTACAGTGTTTTCTTAATGTGTTAATTGTTTAAAAAAAAGTTAGGTGAATGTAACATTTTATATTTTTTGCTTTTGGCAGTCAAATACTGCAAGTATCAAACTGTGCAGTATTTGACTGCAAGAAGCAAAATTTCATAAAATAATAAGAAAAAGTTATTTATTTATTAATTAAGCTTAAAGAGAAATTTAATTAATTGAAAAGTTATGGAATCATATACAGTAGAACCTATTTATCTGATGTAACTGAAATGGAGTAATTTAAATAAGCCATAGTACAATTTCTTTTTTTTTTTTCTGATAACGTAGGATCAAATTTAACATAAAATGGATATCACTTATTTTTGTTTATATCATTTTGTTTTTGAATGAATTTAAAATTAAATTAAATAAACTTTGAAATTTACATTTTTTAAACTTATTAAATTTTTTTAACTTATTTTATTTAAATCACGTGAAAAAAGTAATATGCATCTATAATTATATATTTTATGCATATATGTATCTATATAAATATAAGCCATCTCTGATGTTGAAAAATAACATTCCTTAGAAGAAGACAGAAATTCATATGAGCATGCAGTATTAGAATTTTTCTTTTTTTAATTTATTGAAATATTCAACGTATTATTATTATTATTGTTATTATTTTGACAATTTACTAATTTTTTCAGAGAAGGCTTTTAATGCAGTACAAATTTTAACTGATGCAATCCATCAGTGATACTAAAAGATTTTAGAAATATTACCAAGACAGAGACAGATATTTAAAAGACATCTCTGGGATAGCAAGCTATAATTTATCTATTTTGTAAATAAATTGTGGTTTCTTTTTTACATTTTGAAATATGTATTTTCTTTTTGTATAATGAAAAAATGAAAAGATGTTTATAAAAAGTAAAACCTGAGATGATTGTTTTTGAGACTTAGTGGCTCATTTTTGGTTTAATGTTTCACTTAATGATTAACTCTTTCGCATCGAAGTCGCCCCAAATGCCCAAATATTCAGACATCGGCTCGACGCCCGAAACGCCTGAATAATTTCCTACCCAGTGCTTTCCCCCATCACGTTACTGCATTACTCATTGCTTTCAGGTGTTGAAATCACGTGTCAATCATTCTTTTGAAGCTACTAAAAGTAGCTTCCTTGTTTTCTTTGTTCCTTCCTTTCCTTTGTTTACTGTCAGTGTTTAGCTTTTGATGCCCGAAGTTGCAATACCGTCCCAAAGGGGAACTTCACACAGTGTCAAAGCGTCGAAGAAAGAAGTTCTCGCTTTACTTAAGTAAGGCTATTGTTAGCGCTGTAGTATTCAACTTGTCATGGGGGAAGGAAAAGAATTCCAGGAGAAATTCTTAGATATGGGCGTTTTCGATGTTTGGGGAATTGAGATTTTGTCCTCTCTCGATGCGAAAGAGTTAAAGGAAAGCAATGGAGGTAGGAAGTAACAGGAGAGGCTCTAATTGGTTTTCTCCATACTCTGCTTTACAGCACTGGTGATCCCTTCGTGGGGACCAAAACATTAACCCATTAACAGCCAAAACTATAAAGAATGTTTCTTTTCTCATGAAAATAATAACAAATATTAAATTTACATTGAAAATTTTAAAAATGCTCTTACCTGTGGAAAAAGCGAGTGTTGCGTTCGCGCAATGTCAGTGGAATAAGATTACAGATGTTTAGTGAGTAGGATTGTACTCGTGTGATGTTTCTTTTGAGTGGAGCGCAGGATTACTTTTTAGCTGTATAACATTTTATAAATCTACAAATCACTTTACTTGTAATTAATTTAATATTAAAATATACATTGTATTTCTTTTACAATTACAGATTATTTCAGTTGAAAGATTCAAGCATGAAAGGCTTGATTACAATCATGATGTAAAGCTGCATTACATACTTTGCATCTATAAACAGTCTGGCTATGGTGCTCTTTACAACAAAGTCTTTTGTTATCAATGGACTTTACGATAAAATGTCTACCATCTCCATGCAATGGTTTTTGAATGCTGAATTTACTATGTCTTCCTAATGCTGATCTATTTGTGGCTAATTCTACACTCTCAATAGGAGTTTTAAAAAGGAATAATGCATTCTCGCGTCTAGAATCTAAAAGAGACTTTATATTTCCAGTAGTAAAAAGTGGGGATATTTAGTAAGTTTAGATACGATCTCACCTCATATAATTTATCAGTATTGTCAATTTGACTATTGTCAAATGCAAATTCTGCTTCAGAATCCTCTACTGCAAACGTGATATCGATTCTCATATAACAGGAACAGAAACATCCTTATGAAAGGACCAATACATTTTTTCTTGAGGTAAAGAATGATATACTGTAAGCAATAATATTCCAATAAATCGTCTCATATAGGCTTCAGATGCAATAAATTCTTTTTTTTTTTTTTTTTTTTTTTTCCTGAGCGTATATATTTGTCTGTTCAACGAGAAGAGAGTAAATGTCTAAATCAAAAAGAAAATCGAAAATCTGTGCACTAGTTTTACCTTGTATTTTGTCTTTATAATTTCTCTTCTTCATGTTCTTCCTGAGGACATAACTAACAGTTCCTTTTTTATCCACTTCAAGATTTCAGTCTTCTGCTTTTTTTTAAACTTTTTAGTTTTAGTATGACTATAACTGCTTTTTAGAAGGCTGAAACTTACTCTTACAGGAATTTCAACTCCCCAGCAGTATCATTGGTAAAATATCATTATCATTATTTAAAACATTGCCATTCCTTTCTTCTTCGTCACTAGCTTCTGCAATTTCTGGGGGAACAACAACAATATCAGTTTCATTCTGGTCATTATTAACATTATCATCATCTGTTTTTCTTCATCAAAAAATCTTTGAAGGGCTTCTTCTAATGTAAGATATGTCGTTCTAGGCATTTTTTAAAGAACCAGAACATGAACCAGAACATCGAAAGAAATGAGTGAAAAAAGGAGATTGACTACCCGTTTCCTGCTGACGTTGCGTCAGCACGAAACACCTGTTTTCCCTCCCTTCCCAACACAAATATAAACATCTGACTGATGTAATGTTCTGATAAACGGTGAACCTTGACTAAAAATAGATCATCTCATAAAAACGGCGAAATCTTTCGTTATAAATATTTTCAGAAAAAATACCCAGGTCGTCAAAAATTTTGCTTAAAGTATAAGAATTAATTATTATAAACAAAATGATTGGTGAAGGCAAATATTTTTTTACAGAAATAATCTTCATAATATTCCCTACACAAAATCATCTGCTGGCATAAAATATTTTAGGTAGTTATGTTTATATACGCATTTATTTTGACCGTTGCGTCAACGCAACACTAGCGGCTAATGGGTTAAGTGACTTGCCATTAAGATCAATGGGTTTTGACATGATTGGATGTAAACATTTTGTAATTACATTGTAAATATGCATATAAATGTATATATTTTCTTTTTCTACTATATTTCAGAGGCCTAAGTATGTGAAAAGAATACATTTTTAAACAGCATTTCATTCAGAACGGAATTAAGTGCTAAACATTTAAAAAACCAGTTTGCTCAAAACAGTTTAGTTTTAATAAAATAGTTTCACAAGTTTTTGTTAATTACATTTGAAAAAAATTTTAAGGTAATTTGATTTTATTCGGTTAAGTATTACAAAAATTAAGATCAAAGTTTATTGTATTATTAATATTAAAATTATGCATTATTTCTGTTCTATTTACAGAGCTTCTTCCTAAAATACTTTCTCAAATATAACATGATTTTTTTAGCTGAGGCATTTTTTAAATCAAAAATCTGAGTCAATTTATAATTAATGCTCTATTTGGTCCATTTCGAATTAGAGTACCTTTTATTTCAATAGTGAAATACGTTAAATAATGGTGCTCATTTTCATGTACTTAATTTTTTCTGAATATTTCTGAAAGGGAATAAAAAAAGGATTTTGTTAAAAATTATTATTTAAAACTTGTAACTGAGTTCTTATAAAATGTAAGGAAATAATTATTTTAATTACTTATCAGTTTTTTTTTACCCTTAATTTCAACAATACATATTCTAAAACTCTTCTTTACTATTTATTAAGTACGTATCTCATAGAATTTACTTTATGATACATTTTAACAGATGCTTTCCCGTATATGAACAGTTCTTGCTTTAATAATTTTTTAAACGCATTTGTCAACAGAATTTCAATTTATGTTTACAATTCAGTGTTAAGGTTATTATATATTTAAATAATATTTATAATCATTATAAATGTAGATATATTTAATAACTAGATTTCTTCACAGTAACTTCCACAGGAAGTTATGAATGAATAAATCCTTCATTTCAAATACATTATAAATAATTTAATGAATGTTTATGTATTTTGTTGAAGGCAGATATATGCTTTTTTCGTGTATCTGCCTTCAACAAAATATGCACATATGAAACAATATAACAATTTGAAATATGCACATACACACTATACTGCATGTATATGCATATTTTTCATTTTTGGCTTTTTCAAATCTTTAATTTCTGTGCATTCATTATCTTTTTTCGAGTAAAGTAGTTTACAATAATTTAGCATATACCAGAAACTTTTACATAAGAAATATGTACAGTCAAAAGTTGTTAATTCTGACACCCATAATCCGGACCTCAAAGCTAAAATCTTTCTGCGCATGCACCGCGTTGACACATGCGCATAGGCGTTTACGCGTGCGCGCAAGACCTTTACAACTGCACATATGCGTCTGCGCAAGCGCAAAATACGTTTTCGCGTGCGCGTTTAATGTATAACGAACGGTATAAGCTAAAATTATCTAATTATCTATTTCAATTAATGTTGATGATTGCGTTGTTCCTTAATCTTTGAATTGGATCCGGCTTATTATTTTTTGCAGAGTGTAAGAGCAATTTTATAAAAGTAAGCTTGAACTTTCGATTATGTTATATAGAATTTCCAATTCTGGAGCTCCCAAAGGATCTACAAAACAAAAGTATGTTTCGATGTCCATCAAACAAAAAGTGGAATTGCTACAAAAAATGGATAAAGGCATATCCTTTGTTTATCTAACCGTTCCGAAATCTGTTTATCAATTTCACGCTGCTCTGAGCGGGGGAGGGGGAACGTCGTGGCACGCAATGAACTGGAAGTTGATCTGTCAGCACTATCGTTATCTTCAGGGCAGATGTTTTTATTTTATTCGGCTTATAATTCCTTACTAAATGTAGTATTTCATCTCGATGTACTCCGTCTTTGATATGATTTAAATCAAATTCCTCGTCATTATAAATATCACGAATACAAATCAAATAGTTTTCTGGTTGCAATTTTCTAATTTCGGCTATGCGTAACGTATGCTTTATGCATGCACGCGTTGAAAGAAATGTTTAATGAAGTAAACAAATAAATATTAAGCTTCTTTTTTTGTAAATTTTGATACCCTTTAGATCATAATTGCTCATTATTTTATAAATTACGGTTTCATATTTTTAATTTTATAATTTCTGCATGCCATCTTACCAGATTTAAACTGATGATCTATAATCCGGAATCGCCGAAGTCCCGACGAGTCCGGATTAAAGACTTTTGATTGTATAAATATAATTTGAATGAAAATTATATGCATTATTTTTAATAACCACTGAAAGGTCAACTTTTCTTCTAATATTCTATCAAATGTATCGAAAGACATATACAATTTTAAAGGTATTTTTCATTCTTTAAGCATAATATTTTTGCTAAAATCTAAATTTTTGTAGTTCAACTGTTTAGAATTTTATAAAACAAATTCGCAATCAAAATTGCTGTTGTTAGTTATTAAAAAAATAAGATGTGATTTTTGGGTAAATGTCACTTAACTATACAAGCAGCTGTTATATATCCATCACATAATGAATATTTGCTCGTATGCAGAAGTATCCCATTTTCTGATTTGCAAGGAACTGTCGTATGTTGAAATGTTATCAGAGCGCTGTCAAGGGAGTTTCTGGATGTAAGCAAAAAACATGCCATCTGGAGACTGAAGCCTTTGAGCAGTGCTTCACTCATAGACTGTCCCCTCCTTTCATTCTTACTTCCATGGGGAAAACACATAAGAGCTATCTTCCTAAGGGAAAGATGTTTTTGTTAAGGACTTACTAAGGGAAACTGTTTCATGTTGCTTATATTACGTATCGGGAAAATCTTAAAACCCATGCAGTCAGTCTGTTTGTTGGGATTTGAATTCTTTGTCAAATTACCAGTATATAGCAGTCTTATTCACTTGCCACAGATCAGCCTTCAGTGGAATTTTAGTTAAGTAGGATTATACTATATATTAATTAATATTGTATGACAACTCATAAGAGAAAAAGTCATAAATGTTTTATCACTTCAAAATTTATATGTATTTTTCCATATTAATTGTTTTATTTATTTTCCTTTGAAAACCGAAAATAGATGTAAAAAATTATATGCAAATGATGATATATTTATTAATGAAAGCAAGACTTAGAATTAATGATGTTATAGAAATATTGTTAGTTTAGATGTAAATCCATAATGAAGAGTTTTGATTGCGTAGAATGTTAATCTGTAATAAACAGCAAATTTGGCATTTGAGGCGTATTAAATATTCATCTTAATTTCAATTGACATTTGCAGCCACAATTTACTTGGCACCCTAATCATGCCTATTCAAGAACATTTATATTTTTGATGCTGTTGCAATAGGAAGAAAGAGAGCAGCAAGGCAGCATCTTAATGGGAACACAGGTAGAAGCAAAAGTATGCCATTAACCCAGTATGGCAGCTTACTAAGAGAAAGTTTTGGTTTAAGATTCAAATTAGCTGCATATGTCATCAGAGTTATGATAAGATATGGATTGTTCTAGAAATTACGCAGTTCAGAAAGCCATTATTATTTTTTGAATAGAGAGGAGCAATAAGGGGCTATTGCTAAATTAAATTGTAAAGCTGATTTACATATTTTTTAACCTTAAATATTTATGCAGTCTCCTAGAAAAAAAATTTTTTCTTCAGGTGTGCAGTTACAAAATCTGAGCATTAACTTTTGATGAATCTTTATTTCTGAGGTACCTGAAGTGTTAAGTAAAATACAGAAATGACATTAAGTAATATACTTTATTTTTTAAATTACAAAATAAAAGTTATAAATATTTTGTAAAATTCTCCTGAATCTTAACACATTATGTACAGAGTTGTGCATTCTAATAAATATTCTCTACATTTAAATATAAATGTTAATCTGTTAAGAATTGCTATTGTAAAAACAATGAACAAAAAAGAAATGAGGGGAATGAAAATACCAGACTTAATTAAATATTTGAAAGATATAGAATATAGTGGAAGGTTTATTCTTAAAAATGAACAAAGAGGAAATATATAACATCCATATGTAAACTGTTTCATGCTATTTGGCAAAAATATAAAGGTTATATTCATTGAACATGAGAGTCAATTCTTTTATAAGTAATTCAAGGAGTTAAAAGTATTGAATGTTTTCAAACAAATAGAGAAAGCTAAATTAAATTCACAAAAGATTTTAAAATAAAGTGTTGAAATGTAGTTTACATAAGGGAAAAAATTTTTAGCCCATATTCGTAGTTTAGATTTCAATAGGTTCGCTTAACATAGCTAAACATAACATTTATTGTAATGAACCAAATAAAAGATAGCTTCACAACTGATTCTGCTTTTTAAACTGTTTTGCAAGGGGTGATTTGCAATCTGATCCTTCAAACTTCATCTCTTTGTGAGACTCATATAAACTAGCATTTTTGAAATGTAAAACTAGAGTGTCAATAAAAAAATTTTAATAGATTTAGTGGGGTGGGTTTATATATATATATATATATTGAGAAATATTTATTTGTTGTTGCATAGAACATTCATTGCTTGTTTTATTATGTCTTCTACATCGAGTCCAAATAATGTGCTTGATTGGTTAATTGCTAAATTAGAGTAACCAGATGGCAACCACAGCTATTGAAAAATAATTTAAGAACATTATGTTGTGCACTATAGCAGTGGTTTTCTGTCTTAACAGGATAAGATTTTCTGCAGGTGCCAGTTTTTTAGATCATAAAGCAACATCTGTTTTGAGGCATTTAAAAAAACTAATTTGTTCTTAATATTCACATTCCAGTTTAGTAACTGAAAATGAATTTTTATCTAAAGTAATAATAATAAAGTTCGATTTGGAATTCACAAATCAATAATTTCTAAGTAGTAAAATATTTTACTTTATCTTCTGCATAAGTTACTTGCAAAATAAAGGTATTACATGACAGGTATGATTCAAATGACTAGTTAATTTTGTAAAGACAACTGCTTTCACTCATTATGGGAAGTATGCAATATTATGCAAGCAAAATGGTAACTGTTCCCTGTTTTTTCAGGGTATGGATTTTTTTGCCTATTAGTACATACGAAGCTTTTTTATAAAGGAATATTATCTGCTTTTGAACATTAAAAGGAAAAGGGCTTGCATTTAAGGTGATCTAGACATGAGCTGGATATGTTGAAGATAATTGATAATTCACAAACAGGATAATTGAACGATCTGAGTACCATACTTTAAATACTTTTTTAATATGTAAAAGTTAAGGAATAAATGATATATTTTTAGTATTAGACTGCATAGGCAGAAAAATAATATAGTGTTAAAAGCATTTTTTAAAAAGGGGAAAAAATTTTGGGGGGGGGTCAATTAGCTAATTGCTTGCAAGTCTTATATGGTATGTTTATGTTTAATGAAGAAGTGCATAACATATCTTATGGATTTTTTTCAGGAATAATAAGTAGAATGCAAGAAAGAGGGACTATTTTCATTTTTCTGTCTCTGAAATGCAAGAAAAATCTGTTCTGAAATTGATGAATTTATATTTTTTTAAATGCAAGGAATTTTACTTGCAGTACTAGTAGACTTTAGTGTGTTGATTGAACATAGATAAATGATGCATGCTATTTCTAACTAGTCATAAATCTTGATACTCTGTCATTTGCTCAAATTATAGTGATTCTTTTCCTTTTGTAAAGATAAATATTTAAAATTGATGGGCTAAATAATTTTTGCAATAGATTAAAGTATAATATTGAGGTTTAAAACTTACAAAAACTGTAAAAGCTGAAATAGTCTTTAGTTTTAATAGCCTTTAGTTTAGATTTTCATAATTAAAATACAACTAAAAACTTGCATAGATTTCAAAAATTTAATTATTTCTTAAAATATATTGGTATTATGATATGAGTAATTATCCAAAAAAAAAATATACATATCAACTGTTAAATATAATTTTATTGTATTAGTTAATGTAAATAAGAATACATGCATCTGATCATTCCAAATATGTATGAAATGTTCATAATGGGCACTTTCAACTGTATATGTGAATCAACTCTTAGGCAAATAAAGTAGTATGTATAATGTATAGTAGAAATGTTGTTGTTTGGGATAAAGATTTCAGTTTAAAATCATTTCTTTTTTACTCAATTTGTATGATTATTTTTAATAGGAATTGCACAGATTTAATATTTTTATTCAAGATGTTGTCTCTAAGTGCTTTACTGAAAAAGTACAAAAGAATTTTTTATGAAATGCATTTATTATAATATAAAAAATAGTAAATATCCTTTTTAGAGGGAATATGTCTTCTTAAAGAAATCTATGTTAAAAATCAGGAACACCAGTTATGAAAGGTTTGTGCGATTTTAATTTACTAGTTAAAAGTGCAGAGTTTCTGAACTTGAAGAGAAAGGTTTTAGCAGCCTTTGCTGGCCATTATTCAGTATTAACACCATTATTTTCACTGGTGAACTGGATACAGTTCATATGCAAGGCCTTTGCTGTTGTAGGACTTCTCTCTCTTCAAAGCCGTCATACAGGAAAGTGAGAGTGCAGTTTCCCAGGCAAAGAAAGGAACAGCTGTTCTCCAAAAGTACAGAAATTTTGGACTTTCGTACCAAGAGATCGATCAAGATTTTTGACTCAAAAGTTAAGAGAAAAGGCCTTGCAGATCTCTTGGACAATGGATATATCACAGATTCTCCTCATGCTACAGCTGTGGCAAGACACTGATGTAATTATGTCCATTTTTTGAATGAATATGGTTGTCTCAATGTTGATTTCTTTTACATTATACTCAGGAATTCTCCATTGATGACACTGGACTCTCTTTATGGACTGGACAAAGAGCATTTAAACATGTGCTCTGCACTTAATAATTTTAATTCTGCCACCCAGTACTGGAAAGCAAATCAGCTAATTGCTCAAATGTCAAAAGAGATTTGTATATAAATAACTCCGTTATAAGTTCCTGCTGCTTGAAATGATTTATCAACTTTAGCTTCGACAAGCTGTGTTTGCTTAGTGCATACTTAGGCCCTGAGCCAAGGCTTATTTAGGCATGTGTTAAATTATATTTCACATTTATTCTTAGTTGAACATTTGTTCTACCTTACCTGTAACCTGCGGAATCTGTTTTTGTTATATGCCTAACTTTGTGTAACCATCAGGTTTAGTATTAATAAAATGGTTTATTTTAAACTCTCAGTTTGAATTTGTAATCTCCATAATTAGAAAATAAGATGGGATGATAAATCATCTGATTGTCTTTTACAGTTCAGTTTGGCATTTTATAATAGTACAGAACTATACATATGTATTGTAGAAGCTAATTATGATACTCAGAGTATAATTCAAGAAGCTTAAAGTATGAAAAATGTTAAGTTTTAAATGTGTTTTCAATCATTATCAGAAAAAGGTAGTTTTAACACAGAATTTCAACTTTAAGCTGGTATCTTGTATCTTAACAGCACACAATAATAAAAAGATTTCAGATTTTGTTCCATATTTTGAAACAACTGAAGATTACCTAACTGTGAAAATATGTCAGCAATGTATGTTTGTGTTGCTGTACTCTCATTTCAGCTATTTTTTAACTTGTTATTAGCTATCTGTAAATCACATATTGTGAATTTATCCATATAAAACAATCATGAACATCATAAAAATATTTATTTTAGGACATTTAATTCAAAACTGACACTTAAGTACCTGGAAAATGATATTTCTATGAACATTTTCACAAAATTGATATAAAATACAACATTGAAATTTTCAAAAAATTAGAAATGTGTGCATATTCTGAAATCTATGTCATTTTGGAATTTAAATAATACAGTAAGAAAACAGAATGTCATATGAAATGATTGCATTTTACTTTTTTTAAGAAATTAACATCAAAATGAGCATCAGAACAAATAATGCGAATTATTCTGGAATATTATATTTGATTAAAACTTTTTTGAATAATAAAATAATTTTATACGTACATTAATTTTTTTATTTGATGCCATATTTTATATCAGGATTTACTGTCTCAGATGGAAGACCAAGACATTAAAAACTATTTGTATTAAAAAACAAATGTATACACACAAATATTAATAAGGAAAGAAAATACCGAAATAAAAAATTTAAAGAGTACTAGCTTTCAAAAATAGCCACCTGTGGTCCATTATTTTGATATTCTAAACAGTTAACTATTTTAATGTTATGGTCTTCACTTTTTTGGTTAACACTGTAATGCAATAAATTTATGGATGTCATTATGAATTGGAGTAGAAACTTAAAAATTCTCAGTAGAAATTGAAACATTATATTAAAATAGCTCTAATTATATATCTATCTGTACAACTCTCTAACATAGACATATATATACACTATGTAAATGCAAAAAAAATCATTCCAAAGAAATAGAGTGGTTGCACTTTTGATCCTAGACTTTAACACATGCAATTCATTATGGAAAGCAGCAACAGGAGTAGAAGTCTCAGTTTCTTTAGAATTTTACACTGAGAAAGATTAATAAAACATATTTTTTAAAAGTAATACTTGTATAAGTCTTCTGATTTCTTCAACTAGGACATGACTGTCGTGATCTTATTTAATCTGTACAATTTATCTAATTTAATAATCTAATTTAATCTGTACAATTTATAGATATATATATAATGTGCTTTGAATATATTTTACCGTCAATTATCTGACATTTATCATTCTGTTATTGACCAGAATGAGCAAGTAACAGATTTAAGAATGAAATATATTACAGTTAAACAGAAGTATTTTAATACAATTATAATGCCACTCTACCCTGTATTTATTATGTATAAACAAGTATCTATGTGGAGAATAAGCTAAAAGCTTACTGATACTACAACAAAACTGAAATCAAAGGCAGCAAGGCTATGATAATGCTTTTATGATAATGCTTTAACAGTCTTTTAATATTCCTATTCTGTGGCTATATACTAATGTGTAGCTGTTTGATAGTAATATTAAGTGAAATATTTTAAAGTATAGTAATGTATCTTAAACCTATATTCTGCTGATTATTCATAAGTATTTTTTAAGTTTTTAAAATTTTGATTATTTACTGCTACCGCCTCTTTTTTAATATTCATTTTAAGTAGATATTAATATTATATGTCATGAAATATTTAAATATAAGACTAATAATTCTTATTTCAAGCTGTGTGCTTCCACTCTATTTCAGTTTTAATTGGTGCTCAAAACATTCAGTAAAATTGAAATATGATTCACAGGTAGTAAGTGAGCACAGTATATTCCTTATTTTTTGTCCACATCTGTAAGTACTACTCAGCACTCATTGCATTCTGTGCTGAGTTCTCATCATTTGACTGGCATGGCACATAGATTTAGATGGCAAATTGTAATCCCATGATTAGAATTCAACAAAATGATGATAATGGTGATGCACATGTTCATGAAGGTGATGATGCTCATGTCTTTCTACTAGAGGTCCGTGAGCTGAATTAGGAGAAACACTGTTACACAGAAAGTGCTTAGTTGCTTCTGATTTGGAATTAGAATGTTCTCGAGCAATCCAGCTGGCAACCTGCTGCATTGCTCGTTGACGTTCACGATCACGATGTCGATGCCGATAATGATGCCCAGGTGATGATGGAAGATGATTTGACAGTTTTTGATTTTCTAAAATAGAAGTCCAATTCTGGTTATTTCTTGGTTTAAGTTTTGGTGAGTAAAATCCACCAGGATTGGTTAAGTCATTTTCATACAAGTCATAAGATTTAGAACGGCGATGATGAGGCTTCTCCCAATCAAATTTAGCATCTGGCACAATATCACATAAATCAAAGTTTAAGTTTAGCAAATCATCCTGTGGATCAGGATTAATTTTATTCCTATATAAACGAGGGCTTCTTTCCACATCAATGTTCACTTTAGGATGACATGGAACAGAGGGTTTCTTCAATGGAGAAGAGCCATGGCTCTCGCGTGTTTTATGAGATTTTGAACATATGTGCGTTCTGTCTACAAGCCGATATGGACAAATGTATTTAGGGTCCATACGAGGGCTGTGTAGTTGTTCAGCATTGTGCTTTGGATTTGAAGTATCATTGTGCTTGGGGCTTTCCATCCCAGCCAAGTCCAAATAATGATTTCGGCGATCACGGCTCTCTGGTAAATGGTCCCTACTCGTTGGATGTTTGTGATGATGGTCTTCAGTAAAGTTCTGAATTGTCTCGTCTAGTAGATGCCTGCAAAATTATGAAATTAATTACTTAAAAATACTTCATTAACATGCAGTTTAATGTATTAACGAAATTACAATATTATTTGAAAACAATAATTTTAAATTGTGCTTTCATACTATAAATTAGTATTAATATCATATTTTATAATAATTTATTTTTAAGGTTTATAGATTAGAATAATTAACACTTTATCGACCGCTAGAGGTTCAACAGCATACGCACATCCGACCGGCCGCTCAGCCACAGATTCTCCCTGTTCTGAATAACTGTCAAGACAATCTGATAAATCGTCTAAATAAAACTCTCCAGTACCATATTTTTCGCTCATCGTGAATAGTAAATTTTTAAAAAATAGTGTGAAAATGTGAGAGTTTACGAAGCAACGCACTTAACACAAGGGAGCAATGTACCTCAATACTAATAATAAAATGCAGATGGTATAGCAAATAGCTTATAGCCATAGATTGATAGGCTATTTTTAGGTAGCCTCGAGAAAAAAGCGATTAATAGGCTATGGGTAGGTAGGCATTGGCGAAAAAAAACCAATTAATAGGCAATCGGTCAGTAGGTATTGGCGATACAAAGCTGATCGGTCGGTAAAATGTTACATTTTATACAAACTACAGTGAAATGATCGATGAAAGTTTGAATTAGAAATATATTGCAGAAGGTTAACCTGACTAAAAAATTATTCATAAATTATAGTAAAGTGTTCAAGGAGTATCTACATCAGAGTAGGAGTTCCCAATCTAGGATTTAAGATAGAATTTCAGGAGGTGCAACATGTGAACATGAAAAAAAAAAAAAGGAACCTAGATCTAGGGCTTTCTAATAGAAAACAAAAACTTGCACATGGGAAAACTATGAAAGTATTTGTGCACTGCCCTCATTCCATCACTGGAATTCAAACCCAAGACACAAATGTCACTATTCTATGCTTTTAGTAATTTACAAATCTACATTTAGCATAATAATCTACTCTATTTTTTTTATAATACAGTTAAATACCTCATAACTGGCACCCATTTAACTACCAATATCAAAATAATGGCACCTTTAAAAGTCTATATTTAAATTGGAAATTCAGGCATGTAAGATGAGAAAGTATGTAATGGGCTAACAATCTCTAAAGACCTAAATGCAGATGTGTTATGTTTCTTCTGTCCAACATAACCTTATCCAGCTAGTGATTCCCATGATTTAGTATGATGGCATATAACTTAGAAACTACCATTTCTAAGTTATATGCCATCATACTAAGAAATTCATAATTTTCATTGATAATACATATGGTAGTTTTAAAATTTGTGTAATTTCCTTTTTATGAAATATAAAATCATGTGTGTTTTAATTTTAAATAACCTGCAGGACTTTTCTATATTATATATTTAATTTTGACCAATAGATCAAAAAAACGCTATCAATGGACTTCGTATTCTGCAATTTTTACAGATAGTGTCAAAAACATGAGCAAGCAAGTGCAAGAAATATATATTTAGTTATGCAGAAAAACATATATGGAATCAGTGTGATTCCATTGCTGCCAGTTAAAAGGGATTCTACAGTCATATTTGAGCATGAGAGTAACTACAGGAAAACAACCACAATGCCATGTAAAATCTGATGTTATTCAAAATTTTCAAGTGAAGGGTATAATATACAGTGAGACACCTCCTAACAAGCTTAAGTTTGTAATTGAAACAGAACTACTTTCACAGATTTTTGCATTACATTGCCTGTTCATGTATTTCCACCTGTATGGCTGAAATTTTTCAGACACTTAAATTTGATGTAATGGCTCAACATCTGTATTTTCATAGTCTTCTCCTTTCTGATTATTACTTTTTTTGTTCACACAAAGATGCATTAAGAGTTACCAATTTAGTTCAGACTAATTTAAATTATTGAAAATAAGTAATGACTGCCTGGCTTACTACTCAGCTGAAAATATTATTTTCTAAGTGCACGATAACACTTGCAGAGTAATGGAGCAACAGCGATACTTGGAAAAATTATGTTATGGTACACTTTCTGTTTTTAATGAAGTACAGTTTACAGCTACTTTGTGAATAATTACTGAATCTCACACACATAAATAATGAGAATAAATCATGTAACTAATTAAGTATACGGATAGATTCCCCCCTTCCTGTAATGGCCTGAATATTCATTCAGCTGAAGAGGGGGAAAAAAAGCTTCAAATTACATGCAAAATTTAAATTAGATAATGTGTCAACTCATGATAAAAATTAACAATACAATAAAAAATAACAGCAAAGTTATCTTAATATAGAACTTTAATCTTTATATTTTCTAGCAAATTGGTTCAGAATTTATATTAATTTTTCTGAGAAAATTTTAAATAGCTGAATAATTTGAAGAAAAGCAAAATAATCTTTACAAAATGCTAAGATATAAATTTGGCTTTAAAACCTTTCACCTATAAAAAATTAATTGAAATGAGAATTTACCGATTATCGCTGGCATTCATGTGCATTGTCAACTTTTCTCTGAGATGACTTTTTAAGTCATTTTTGTGGGGACGGTTTTGGCGAGCTGGACGCAACTTGGGAGATGGCATTGCTCTCACATCAGATGCTGACATTCGAACAACTTGGGGTGAACGTGTTGCAGATGGACTTGAATACTTGGGCGGTTTCTCTGAATGAGATGATGGCAGGTAAGTGGATGTCGTATTGGCACTTTGAGCACTGCAACAGTCATTAAGTTTGGACGGTGAAGGTAATTTATTAGTTTCTACTGGCCACTCAACATCAACTTGTGGCTCTTTTGTGTCAATGTCTTTACTGCTGTCTGGAGAAATGGCTAACTTTACTTTAATGGTACGGCTTCCAGATGGAGGGATTTTCAGTGTTTTTCCCAAAGCTTCGCAAATGGATCGCACAACAACTTTTTCAACATCCTGTAAAATATGCAAGGGAAAAAATATTCTAAAAATGGAAATAAGAATAAATCACAACATTTTTTGTTAGATATCATTGAAACAAGCTTAGTAATAAAATATACAGAAAAATATGAGGCAAAGGAAGATTTATATGATTAGGAAGTGGTTTTACAAAGGATATTAATTTTTTCTCAGTGCTGAAAAAGAAAAAGCTGCAACAGTTGAAAGTAACTGAAATTATTGAAATGATATTTTTAGAGACTACCTATTGCAAAATGCTCTGTCTGAAGAGAATAATGTAGATGAATAGTTATATGTTTTTGAGTTGAACAGACATGAAGTTTTCAAGTATACACTAATTTTTAAATTATGCCAAAACGTAATCATTAGATGTGTCAAAATAACCAACTGTTTTTAATTAAGCCAAATATAAATTATAACTACTATTCTATGCAGATGTTGTAGTGCAATTTCATATATCTGGCTGTAAATAATACCTTCTCTTTAAAATATATTTTACTTCTATTTATGATGATGTTAAACATGTTGTGGCATCATTATTGATGAAAAATATTTAGGAAAGTTAAGAAACTTTGGAACAGAGTAATTTGTATTGTTTAGTAACTATATTGTGCATAATAAAAATATTATTAGAGATATCAGAAGAAAAATCTGAACAGAGCTTTTTTGTATTATTGTTAATTTAAGTTATTTGTCTCATTCTGAAGACCAAAGTATCAAATTAATTACGTAAAAAAAAAAAAAAAAAACACCCTTTCAAAAAGTGATTTTTCAGGTTTTTGAATAGAACTAATTTCTGATGAGTTTAACATATAACAATTTAAAAGTTTATGAATTGTCAATATACGTATTGATCAATTGCTAAAATATATTAACTATGAAACAATCTTTTATATTATTCTAATTTGATACTTGGTTATTAAATTCATAATTTCTACAGATGCATAGGCCCACCAGCGGCCGAGCGGCAAAGTTGCTGAACACTGGTAGTTCGGTTCGAGATTTGAATCCCACAAACGGGCTGGCTGCATGGGCATTTTCATGGTTTTCCCCATGTGTAACGTGTATACGAGCCAGTTTGCCTTAGAAGAAAGTCCTCTCCTTAGACAGATAGCCCTCGTGTGCTTTGCCATAATTAAATACACCAAATTTACAGATGCATAATTATTTGTATTTTTAGGATATGCTTCATTATGCATCAATGTGAATTTAATAATTATTTGGTATTAGTCAAAACTGAAAATCAAATAATTGTTCAAATGAAGATACTTACATACTTGTAATAAATATATTAATTTACCATCTGAAGAGTTAATATTTTAATGATATGCAATTTTATTACACTGGTTGACAGTTAAAGAACAGATATGGTGGAATCGCCAAGAAGACAAAATTTTTAATAAATGCATTTTGTGGCAATTATTATCTTAATATGACTAAATAAAGAACAGCAGCAAGCTGATTTGAATTATACTTAAATTACAGATTAATTTACAATCCCTAATTTATATACTTTAAAACAGACTACTTGCTAGATATCAGAACTATTAAAACATATATCACTAAAAGAGAACAAAAGAAACAGAATGAGTTGAGGAAAACATTTATTAAGATGATAAAATAATCTAAATAAATTAGAAATATACAATCGCTTATTTTAAAATTATTCACTTTTGCAGAAAACAGGATAATAAAATTTGAATTATATATTTTATTAAAATCTTCAGCACTTAAAAAATAGTAGTAATAATAGTAATTCAAAATCAAATAATGATCTAATTGTTGTTAATACATAGTAAACATAACTGAAGATATATGCTTGTAAAAAAATTAAATATTCTTATTAATTATTAGTAACTAAGATTTAAGATTAACAGATATAACATTTTGAAATTTACCTGCTTGTTTGCTTTGTCACATGTATCAAAGTCATATAATGTAAAAGAAAATTCTTGTTTCTCTTGACCATCTACTGAGACACTGCAAGTGACTTCCTGAGAAAAAAGAAGCTTCTTTAACATCATACATAACAAGCAGCTAAAACATGCTTAAATATTATTAAATACGATAAAAAAATTACATAAAACCTTAAAAATATAACTAACATGATTTAAGTCGGTATTATTAAAATAAAAGGGAAAATAATAAATAATTTTCTGTAAACTACTCACATTAAAGAATTTTCAATCACTGAAATTTTAAACCATATTTTTCTAAATCTAAGATATTCTTTTTTCGCTGTATAAATATCATTAAAAGCAAGATGTCTTAGAATAAGTGGTATCTTGGAATACTTATAATATGTATATTAATTATAATAAGTTACTCTTGTTATATCTCTGAGTGTATTTCTTTCATTAAAATCAAAACTGAACTATATCAAAGTTTTTTTCCTACTAAACCTATAAAAGTTATACAATGATCTGTAAATATTACTACAATGTATAAAAGTTATTACAATGTTTTTTAAAAGTTACTAGAATGATCTGTAAACTCACATTTTTTTAAAATGATATATAACATATATTTAAAAGTTTTTTTTTTTTTTTTTTTTTTTTTTTTTTTAATTAATTATGCAGTTATATACCATATTGTCTGGTTTTTCACTCTTTTCCTCATCAGCTTTTTCAAAGGCTTCTTTATTTTCTAATACAGTATCTTGTTTTTCAGAATCTTGAGGCAATTTAACTGTAAAAAATATATCATGTTACAATGGAAAAATTTGAGAAAATTTATAATAAATCTTTACGTTAATTGTATGTCAATAAAAACATTTTCATAACCAGATAATATTTTTTAAAAATAGTACTTGGTATTAGACTGCTAAATGAAAAAGGGAAAATATATTAAACATTAATATACTGACCAGATATAAGAAAAAATTTCATTGTCAGTAATATATTTCTTTAATCAGTTAACAGCAAAAAGCATATAAAGGCTATCTAAGGGGAAGAATGCCTTTTGTCAGTTATTAAATGTATATTCAAAATTAAATCATTGAAAAATTTTTTGTTTAAAAAGTTATATAAAACCTACTAATCAGGAAATATATTCATCACTAATAAAGTCAAATTATTTTACATCTAGATGCTGTTTTAAAAGCAACATTGGACCAAACAGTGGTCATAAATCAATTGAGACTGTTAGTTCTCCTCGTGGTTCTATTCCCGGAAATGGAATGCACTGGCTGCATAAATTTTTCGTGACTTTTCTCATGCATAATGTAAATACCGGCCAATTTCTTTTAGGAAGTCCTTCATGAAAGCTTTCTTCCTCATCTTTATTCTAATGAAATTCAATCCAGTCTTAAAAACTGCTGTTACATTTGTATAGATCGTAACATGCAAAAATTAGAAGCCCTGTAAATTTTACAGTTTACTGATACTTCCTACGATTTAACAGCAGTGAATGGAAAAAATCTGAAATATCCAGTAAATATTCTGATTTTGCGCCAAGAGAAAACAACAAATATTAGCATATACCAATCAATCTCATTAGAAGCAATCTTATGTGAGTAAAATAAATTAACTGGCATAAATTAAGGACACAAAAACATCAGTATTTAAAGCTCATCAGTACTTAAAATGTATATTTAACTTGCTAATACTTGTAATGAACAGATTAGTTATAGGTTATTTTTATTTCCCACAATTAGATAATAAATTGTTATTTAAATAAAAATATTTATTACTTAAATTTTTAAAACGTGTTTTTTCTGAAAATTTCCCATAACCACCGAGTTCTAAAAAAAATGCTTGGATGCATTTAAACAAGGAGAATACGTCCTCCAAAAGCCAGACATCCGACAATCATCCTCCTGCTCTTCAAAAATTATAAATAAGTCATTATATTTCTGATATTATCACTTTAGTGAAGTTTTTTATACAAACACTTAACTTTGGAGATATATGGGATGCTAAACTTATTCAGCTAAAATCGAAGTTTCGGGTAAATAAAAATAAAACTGAAGATTTAATCAAATTTTTATTACACCAACACTAGCTAAGTTTTATTCATGGCAACAGAGTTTTGCTGAAGTAAATTACGATCATTTGGGCATAGTTTGGCTCATTGTTATATTACATAAAGCAGTTACTTGTAGCAAGTATATGTGTTTTATAACCACTACTGGTAACTTGTTGCCACCAAAGCATAGTGCTAATTTGCCAATAAATACCAACCGCTCTGTTGCTACCATACTTTCGACCATTCAGTCGAGTAAGTTTAATAATTTGTTCCGTCTCGTTTTATTAGCTTTGACATGTTCCGTATGTTTGTTACTTTCATAATGTATCTCTGGGATTTGCAAATGCAAAGAAAACACACTTTGTCCAGACTCAAGAAACATTGCTGAATAGTCGAGAATGTTCTAATGGCCTATAAAAGTGTCATAGATTGAAACAATTACCTCCGAGAGGATGAACGGTAATTCCCAACACCATAATCAGCAACCAAAGTCTGCAGTACCCGAAATGATGCCATAATTTTCTTTGTGCAAAATGAAGTTCTTAACAGCAGTTAACAGGTAAGTATAATATTCTCAATCCATTAAATATAACATAAAAAAATTAAAATTTTAAAAAAATGATCATCATAAATGCTTAGAATCTCATATTTATTTTTTTCTGTATCATTACAAAAATATAAACTGTTACTGAAATATTGTCATTTGTGATGATAACTGAAATCTGTCGGCTTTAAAAGTAAACAAAAAGTTTTTAACAAGTTTATGTAATCTGAATGTTTAGTATTCTGTATATAGTTGTCATTGAGGGAAAAGGAAGAGAAATCCAAGAGGAAGATAATGTGATAATAAACAAATATATAAAATTAATAAAAATGATGAATTGATACTATATAATTACATATGTAACAGTAAAATTAAACTTCAGAATTTTTCAGTGACCCATCAACAATGTTTCCCGACTCACGCAATAACTTGCTTTTAAGTTGTAACTAACAACGATAGACAAATTTTATCTCGTAAAAAAAAAAAAAAAAAAAAAAAAAAAAGAGAGAGAGTTTCCAAACGCGATCTTTAAAAAAATTATATACAAACATATTTTTTGATGAAGCATGAAAGTTATTGAAAAGTAAGATCAAATTTCTTCCAAAATAATAAGTGCTTTGTTCGTAATAAGAGCATAGAGCAATATTTAAATAGAATTTTATTCCAGAAATTTCCTAAGATTCATTTGTTTATCATTTGCACAATTTAACTACTGCCCTTCTGTTTCAATAAAAGTTACATTAAGAATTAATTGATAAAGCCAAGAGAAAAACCGCGCAAAGTGTATCATCAAGTCAAAATTCAGAATTTGTGAACAATGCATCTCCCCTAATGTTAAACGCTAAAATGGACTCGTCTGTTTTATCGACGTCAAATCAGACCTAGAGAAGAGAGCTTTTGCTCCGGAATGTCACGTGATTAACGATTCCCTTCTCTCTTATTGAGTTCAGAAGCAAAAATGAAAGAACAAAGCATCAGTGTGCTTCACTCTTGTCGGACAACTCTGGTTTCAGTAATGATCAATTCTGAAATTCTTTATCAGCAAATCAAATACAAAAAAGCTTTGTTCCGCTATTAACAAGATTTCAAACGACAGGGTCCAACGGAAAATCCGTAGCATCCCTATTACTCCAGAATAGTCTTAAGAAGTCACATTAAATTTATCTGCAGAAAAATTTAATTTTATCTGCAATTAAAATTACACAGTTGAAATAAGAACGAATAAAAGCGATTAAAAGCCTGCTATAGCAAAACAGTAATAATATTAATAACAATAATAATTAATAATTAAATAAAAAAACTAAATAAAATAAAAAATAAAGTTAACAAATCTAACTGTGCAGCGAAATGAAGCAGACGAAAATTATTACAGTATATTACAAAGCAATACGAATTACTTACAATGGATCACTATCTAGATATATACTAGCGCGCATTAATTACTAGTTATATACCACTGATTATACATTGAATAAAATGCATTTCTTTGACGCAAGCATGATTAAGCTGATACACAAACTGGCCATCCGTGTTGGAGATGTTGATTTAAATCCGGCATTCATTGTTTTCCTGCTCAGGCTTGAAATGGCAACGCCTATGAAGTCACTCTAATAACCAGAACATCAAGACCTGTCAGATGAAGGTCATTATTAGCCACTTGAACGTCAAACAGCAGCACTTGCAGTATTGGTTATGCAAAAATCTTTTCAAAACTTTCATAAGATAATGGCGTGAGAACATAATATTTTATGGAAAATGTAACCGTAATGACAGAGACGCTTCTAGGCAGTATGCCAAGCGTTTTTGTCCAGTTCATATGTCATATCCAACTGATAGACGTCCAGTACAATTCGTCGTCTTAAAGAGACGAAAGTTCAGCAAATCGCCATCGAATTTGGCAGACCTAGTTGTTTCAGTATTCAAATGGTACAACAGACTCTGTCTTGGAATATGGTTTTATTATTCCAAGCCTGAAAGTGATTGCCATAAACGAGGAATGTGAATTGAGTACAGTACACATGCACAGAGTAGAAATATCATCAAACATTAAAGGAATTCATCTATAACTATGCTTGTGGCAAAGAATACTTTCTGTAATCGATTTTCATCTGATGACCTATAATCAATAGTTACTGCGCGTAACTTCCGTTTTCTGAATATCGATTCATATAATTAGAAGATTCTGCGTAACTTTCTCTTAGGTCATTTTCTTTCCGAATGTTTCCCTAAAAGAAGTCACTTTTATTTGATGCAGCATGTCTACAATAGAGACTGATCTAAACGGTCTAAAATTATCCATTCCTGTGTAGAGTTGGACGATTCGCTCCTGGAACTGATTCACTTTACTGAGCGAGTAGTTGATTCCATAAAAACGGAGTAGTAGCTCTTTTGAGTTCATGAAGAGTTCTTGTTGGAAGCATGGCACGAAATCGTGTCAGGAAAGTTCGATTCCTATTTTAGGGAGAACAGAATGGTTATTTTCCCATGTACAAGTGAATTTACTTTTTATCTATTCCCAACTTTCTGAAATTTTTTATTCTAGAATTTTATTGTTCGCTCTTTGTAGAAAGGAAGTTTCAGGGAATCTTAAAACTACATTTTAAAGAAATCAGTTAAGTAGTTAGCATATGATTAAGTCGATTCTTCCGATCCAACTCCTTCAGTGGTCCTATCTCGCTAAAAAACTGTTCCTAATCCCACTATTCAGTTTTTTGCTCTTCCCTCCATCCTCGTTAATCGCTCTCTATTCATTTTTCATTCCCGTGTTAGTGAAACGGTAAGTCATAAAAAAGGACTGATTCAATTCAGTGAGAGTACGGTTATCTGATCCCATAAAACGGCGGTCCTGGCTATCTCTATTCCTGTGTAAAAAGGATGTTTACAGGCTTTTGTTTAGACCAAGTATATGCATACAAACTTTGTCTATCTAAAATTGTAGATTTCTCTGCACTGGAAGAAATGGGGGAGGGAAATAATAATAAAATGTTACTGTGGTCTAATGTAGGTTTAAAACAATCCCAATAGATTTTTCTGCACTGGAAGAAATGGGGGAGGGAAATAATAATAAAATGTTACTCTGGTGAACCGTTGCTAACAATAAAATAATATTAAATAACATTAAAGTTACAATAATATATTATTTATCGGCGCAAAAGGAATATTTTCATACTTCTGAATG